CCCCAAAACCCCAAAACCCCAAAACCCCGCTTTTCGAAATTTGATCATGATTACTAGCAAAAAATAAACAAATATGTATTACTTCATTCAACAAGAATTATAAATGGCGATAAAACTCAATGACTTGACAAGTAAACAAATAGTTTGAAGTATTTTAAATTTAAGAAATTATTTCAGATTAAATATAATAATCAGTTGTCATGTTTGTTCCTCATCATTTTGGTGTGTATCAGGGATAATAGATTTTAACAAATTAATCTATTACTTAGAGTTTGAGAGGATGACTTTTCAAATGGATCTTCAGCCTTTTTATTGAGAGCTTGAAAAGTTTAGCATTATCAGAATCCTCGAAGAAGGCTTCCTCGTCGCCTCTGGTATATTTGTAGCAGAGACATCCAATGGGATCAAGTTCGTCTGAGAATATTATTGGCAGAGGGTTTTCCAATGGTCGAGTCAAATGCTTCTCACGATTCTTGACTCCTTCTGCAGGCGTAGGCTACGGGGTATTGTTTTTGTGATATATATGCTTAAGACGAGCAAATGCTTAGTAACCAAGTTTCTTCTTTACTTCTTCCTGGAAATCATAAAATTTAGGTTTGAGTATCATCCTTCTTAGTAATCTAAAGATCGATCTTATTTACATCACATTAGCAGTTTTGTCAGATCTCTTGACTTGTAATTTAAAGGGTCTCCCTTTTTTCCTCTAGATCATATTCTGGCTTCTGTCTTCTAGTATATTGATTTAATTTTATTAAGTTTTGACGATTTTATTATTATTAGAGCCTCTTCTAAGATTATAAGCGATAGGAATATGCTTAGTGGCAGTTAAATCTTTATATTTCCTTTTAGAAATATGGTTATCTGTGGTCTTTTATTTTGATACAGTGTTTTACTTTACTTTTTATGATCTTAAATACCTGCTTTAATTTTTCATTTATTCCTCAAGATCGCTATGAAACTAGGTGTTAGATTTTAAGTTAGATTGTTATGGCATCAGAGGACCCTATTTTTAGGTATCAATATAAAAATTTCTAGCAAGAGAGTTATTTTTCTTTTATTCTGGATTGATCCGAATCTTTTGATAATCGAACATTGGTTATTATTTATTATCAAAAGTCTTAATCTGTTTCTAATGATCTTGATGATCAGAGAAATCTGCTGAGGTGATTGTTGAAATACTTTAGTCATATTTTGTCAAAGGGTAATCAATAATTTCAAAAGGAATAATAGGAACGAAATGAAAGCATAAGTCGCTCCTGGGTAAGCATTAATCGCAGACTTACATTCAGCTCAATATAAAATTTCCTTCTTAAAGTTTGAAACTTTGATAAAAATTAATTAAATTTATCAAGGAAGATTAATATTTATTTAAAATTGAAATCACATATCATATCACATGCTGGATCCAAGGGGTTTTGGGGTTTTGGGGTTTTGGGG